AATGGAATTTTAAACTTTACCAATATTTTTAAAAAGAACTTTTACCTACATAAGTAATTAAAAGCATTTGATTATATTAAAGCTTTGACTTTTAACTACAGTCCTATCTTTTTTTTTTCTTGCATATCATCTTTTTTATTATAAACACTGTAACCGGTATTTTCTTTTCTAGACTTTGACTGTACTTTCCTCTCTTTCACCTCAATGTGGACAATGTTTCAATTTGATTTAAAATGTTTTTTCCATGTAAACAAATATTTTTGTCAGCATCATAAAGGAGATGGAAATAAAACACATGTTAATTCTTGCTCCAAATTAGGAGAGATTCTAAGGGGACTGTAATTACAAATAATGAAAAGACTCATTCCAGAGGCATGATTTTTGAAAAGTTCAGGGAGAGGTTAGGGGAAAAGGAAACTTGATAGAAAAGAAAGAGTAAAAAAAATCTATTTTCTAAAAAAGAAATATATTTTGGAATGATAATGATGGATGACTAGTTTCAATGAGCAATTCATCATTACTTAAAATAGAGCATTAACTACTTCAAAGAGAGCATGAACTTTGACTACTTCAATGCTCTGGAATACTGGTATCCTTTGAAGAAATAATTTTACCTAGACAATGCAGTTTTCTACTGTAACTTGGAAAAAAAAAAACAAAAAAACTCATGGTAGGGTTTGAGATAAAGAAAATTGTCTATTACAGACAGTGAGAACAGAAAATATAAAACATAATTTCTAACTTGTGTTATGCTAAGGAAAAAAGGAGAAGTAAGAGGAACAAGAAAATGAAGGGTTTCAGGACAGAAATTACATGAACAAATATTTGACAACTATGTAAAATAAAGGCTCTATTTAGAAGGGTGCTTTGTCTTATAGACCAATTATTGGATGATAAAAAGTTAAACTCAGGAAAAAGTACAGCTTTCATTAAAGAAATAATTCATGAAATAATGGCATTAACAAATCATAACAAGAATGTATAGACACTGTGGGGAAAGAATGCATTTTTAAAAAAATCTATGATATATTTCACTGAAAGAAAAGCCAGACCATATTTTGTGTTACCATCTGTATACTAGTGCCAACACTCTAATTATAATGATTTTCAAATATCCTCAAATAGAAAATCTGAACTCTTTAAGTGTTGAGGTTTTTAAACTAGTCTGAATATTTTTTAAAATATCATTTACCTACAAAATATATTCTTTTTAAAAATTATTTCTTTATTCTTTTTTTTTTTTGGCTGCGCTGGGTGTTTGTTGCTTTGTGCAGGCTTTCTCTAGCTGCAGCGAGCAGGGGCTGCTCTCTAGTTGTGGTGCACCTGCCTCTTGTTGTGGCTTGTCTCACTGCGGAGCACCCGCCTTGCTGCTCCGGGGCGTGTGGGATCCTCCCAACCAGGGATGGGACCTGAGTCCCCTGAACTGGCAGGTGGACTCTTACCCACTGCGCCACCAGGGAAGTCCCTACAAAATATATTCTTAAAACAAAAGGCCACTGACTGTAGTTTCTTTATGCAAGGCCTGTGTTAGCAGATACTTTCGAAAAGCATAAATGCTGCAAGTTCCAATAATAATATATTGCCTGACTTTTCTACAAAGGAAATTGCTAAGCATCCTTAGAGAAAGGGTATGCTAAGCATCCTCAGCATACTTTAACATAAGGTCGTGATGAGCTCTGGAAAAAAGATCTTCCCCCCAAATCCAAAAGCTGCTTAATCAAACTCAATTTCACCAACTACCAGTTGAAACAGCAATGTTTCATTTACTTCTTGAAAATTTTTTAGTCAAAAAGAAGAAAAGATGAGAAGTAAGGAATAACTGCAATTATTTGTCAATATCATTGGGCCATTCTTTTCTACTTTGCTGGAGTTTGTATGAAATTCAAGTACAAATGAGAAAACACTCCAGGAAAATGATACTGTTTCTAAATTTCTTCTTGCTCTTATTGACCAAAAACATGAAAGTACAATTCAACAAGAAGGCAATAAAATAAGACAGTTTCTAAGTGATCAAATGACAGACTTAACTAAATGGTGTGCTGAATGTTAAAACAATGGAGAAATAAAGAGGATGAGAACAAATATTTCTCTAAGCAATGTATAACTAGTTCATCTTTCAAGTTAAAAAAAGGAGAGAGGGAGAAAGAAAATTATCTGTTTAAAAATCAAAATAAGTTTGAAAAAAAAATCAAAATAAGTTTGAAAGGAAACTCCTCAAGTGTTTGCTTAGTAGTAACTTCTACTAAGTTTCTAACCATCATGCATGAAATTTACTATAATTATCACATACATCTGTTCTTTCAACAGGAAATTATCTTAGGAGTTATGTATTCTGGAAACTGCTACTCGACAACTGAGATTTTCTGATTGGGAGAACAAGAGTCACGAAGATCCAAAGGAAAAGAATTAAGATCAACACTTGAAGAAGCATTGACTTTTATAATTATTGAGAGAAGAACTTCATACACTGCAAAAATCCCTGAAAAAACTACTAAGTTAATTAAGCACTGAATGAAATTTGCACTCTTCATTATTTAAGATTTAAAAACAGTATAGAAACTACTTTGTTAGACTTCATATGAAACAAAGACAATTCATAAAGACATAAACTAGACATGAACTAAATTTAAGTATCCCATTTAGGAAGCACAACCTTCACTCCTTAAAATAAAACCTTAATAATATATTTGATAGAATATAGGACTTAAATGAAGAAACTAGCAAAGGAATTAAACATGCACATCATTATGTGGATGAAAGGGGAATTTGTGCACTTTTTCTGGGGAACAGGCTAGCTGGCTTAGGGTCACTGGCTCAATTTTATATCTCCTTATATAAGCATGCCATTCTTTTATTGTCTTTCAGAATCTGTTCCCCTGGATGAAGTCAACTTTTATACACCTGACTTTCATATAAATCATATTTTCAAACATTATAACATTGATATCCTTAAATCTTGCCTTTCCTACTCTGATTTCAGATTTTGTGCTTCAGTGCATAAACATTCTCAACTATAATCTGTTAAGACTGCCTTCCAAACATAGAAGCACTGCCATTTCTGCCTACACAGCAAGAGGAGTACACAAATACTTTAAATTATTTTTAAAATTTATCTGTCTTTTATTGAAGGATAATTGCTTTACAGAATTTTGCTGTTTTCTGTCAAACCTCAACATGAATCTGCTGTATGGCTCAGGAAACTCAAATACTTTATATTTTTACTGCATTTTACTCTTGCTATTTTATAAAGATGAGTGGAAATTGAAAAAAAATGCAAACAACACAAATGTAAGAAATGTAGAGGTCATAAATTTAAATCAATTGAAACAAAAGTGGAGCTCATCAGTCAACCCAAAAGTTGCAAATTACTAGCATCAAGTTGACAAGTACTGGCCAAAACAGGAAAAAAGTAAAGGCACATATAAAACATGAGTTACTATTACAGGTTCTATATTTGGGAATTCTCTAGGAATGGAAATTCCCCTTTTAACATGTAAAGTTGCTGTTCTACTTGCACATATATCCAACTTCTTTACATGTTTTCAGGTTTACAAAAAAGGACTGAATTCTCATGTTACTCTGGATTCCTTCAGTAGCCAAAAAAAAACACCAACAAGTGATCTATAAAATTGATTTTGTTGTAAGATATTAGTGACATCTGAGTCATATCTCCAAGGAATATGCAATTGACTAGTTGATTTATTTCCCAGGTCAGTCAAACATTTTATTGGTTGCCTCCTATGTGCCAAGCATACTCTGGACTCTGAGTGACATAAAGATAGATAAGACAGGGGCCTAACCTTCCAGAGACCCTGAAATCAGACCCTGACACCAATGTCTGCAGTAACCCTTTATATGGATAGTAGAGACACCAAGGATCAGAGAGAAGATGGGGTTGGCCCAAAGCAAACCTAGAACTCTGAATCTGGGTCTACTAGCATCTAATGCCCTTTCTTTTTGATCATTCTTTTAGAACATGTGATTTTAAAAAGAGGATATCCACAGATGGAGGCATTGTGCCACCTGAATAGAAAAAGTAAATTTTAGGCTGGAAGCCTTGGCTGAGATCTCTCAACTTTTAAAGCAGCCACTCATTCTTTCCACTTGTGCAAGAATCTGAGCACTTACATCTTCACCTTACCAATACATGTGGTTTTACATAAGGATGCAGGATTGACACGTTCCTGCAACATCAGCTTCTATTAACCCTGACTTCTATCCCTCTAGAGCCTAGTTTGTAATCCTGCCTTTTCCAGCCACTTCATGATTTTCCTTCTGACTTCCTTCTTGCTAAGCTTTGTAAAGCCATCCCTGGCTCGATCTTCCTGCTGTGCCTTCTTCCTCCTCTGTAAAATAGAGCTTTTACTTTTCTCTCTGACTCTGTGTAATATTTTCTTTTTCTGTTTGGAGAATTCAGCCTGAAAGGGAAAAACATGTTTAACTGACTGTTTTAAGATAATAAAATTGAAAGTTTCATTTTCTATACTTAATGATTTATTATATGATTTATTCAGGCATAAAATAAATTGAAAGTAAGTATAACGCAAAATTTATATGCATATTGGGGTGCTCTTCTAATTGTTTTAAAACTACTAGTAAGGACTTCTGCAGTTTTCTTGTTTGGGTTATGACTATACACTATCAAAGTCTAAGGAAAGTCAAATCAAATAGGTGTTTTTATAAGAACTATAAATATAACATTGGGGAGTTGTTAACCTTTATAATGGCTTCTAAATTAAAATTCAAATGTCAAAACACACTCAATTAGCCCTCATTATACACAGCAGACAACCCAACAGTATTACTTTATATGCAAAAACACAGAAGAACCTTCTGCTTGATTTTTTCTGTAGAACCATTTGAAGGCACTTACAGATCTCCCAATGTAAGCACCAAACTTTTTCAATAAGATAAACAGGTATTCAGAAATTTCTCACAAATAACTTTAGAGGAACTTTAATAAACAACAGGATATACATGTTGTGTCATAGTTCACTCACCTTTCCATCAAAGCGTTTTATTGTATATTGATCCAGACCCAAGTCTGTAAAACAGAAAAAAATAATGCTTAGTCACTGATTAAAACTCGGGTGAAATACATGAAATGCTAGCTCTCAGTTTTGTTTCCAATCCCATTCAGATGGTTTAGCCACAACATTATTTGAACAGAAATGAAAATTCTGTCCCACTTTCAGACTCAAAGTGTTGGAACTAAAAAATACCGATCCTTTATTTTATATATGAGAATATGAAACTCTTACAGATAAAAAGGGTTCATTTGCAGACCTATTCATGTGCAAACCTATTCAACAGTAAAGCCAAACTAGAACCCTGGACGCTTCCCAGGATGATACTTTTTCATTACATCAAAATGATATATTACCTCTAACTAAAGTGAGGGGATATTAGTTTTATCTGAAAGCATAATCATTTTTTGTATAAAGAGAGATGAGTTTAATACCAGGAGACATTTTGCAACACACCTAAACAAATTCAAATCGGCCATCTTAATATGACCTTTTAGTTCAGTTCAGTTAGTCAGTTCAGTTGCTCAGTCGTGTCCAACTCTTTGCGACCACGTGAATCGCAGCACACCAGGCCTCCCTGTCTATCACCAACTCCTGGAGTTTATTCAAACTCATGTCCATTGAGTCGGTGATGCCATCCAGCCATCTCATCCTCTGTTGTCCCCTTCTCCTCCTGTCCCCAATCCCTCCCAGCATCAGGGTCGTTTCCAATGAATCAACTCTTCACATGAGGTGGCCAACTATTGGAATTTCAGCTTCAGCATCAGTCCTTACAATGAACACCCAGGACTGATCTCCTTAGGATGGACTGGTTGGATCTCCTTGCAGTCCAAGGGACTCGCAAGAGTCTTCTCCAACACCACAGTTCAAAAGCATCAATTCTTGGGTGCTCAGCTTTCTTCACAGTCCAACTCTCACATCCATACATGACCACTGGAAAAACCATAGCCTTGACTAGATGGACCTTTGTTGGCAAAGTAATGTCTCTGCTTTTTAATATGCTATCTAGGTTGGTCATAACTTTCCTTCCAAGAAGTAAGTGTCTTTTAATTTCATGGCTGCAATCTCCATCTGCAGTGATTTTTGAGCCCCCAAAAATAAAGTCTGACACTCTTTCCATTGTTTCCCCATCTATTTCCCATGAAGTGATGGGACCAGATGCCCTTTTAAAGGTGGGCTAAATTATAAATTTAGCCTTGGGAATTCCTAGCATTGTGAAATACTAAGCACCAAGAAAGATAAAAGGAAATATATTAAGTGTTCTTGAGGGCTGGGATTTTCTGTTTTTGATGATTGTGTTATCCCAGTATTTGGAATAGTAATTGATCACTAAATACTTAAAAAAAACAACAACAACACAAAACTGAATGAGTAAGATACAATCCTTGCCTTGAAGAGTCACAATTTTGTAAGAAAGACATAGCAATAATATTGCAAGGAAAGATACAATGAGTTCAGTAAGAGGATGCTGTGGGAATTTTTAGAGTGGAGAAATCAGTTCCCAATTATACTTATTTTTCTGGCATAATTACTCAGTTGTTTTCTTTCAGTTCTCACTTTCTTCATGCCAGTTCAGGCCCTTATTTCATTATGCTTACAATAATACAATGATCAGAATTATCACTGCTCCCAAAGGAAGCTTTTTGCATTTCTGCTTCTACACATTTGGTTACACATGCTCATCTAAAATGTGCTTCACCTTCTAGAAGCCTATCCATAATAAAATGAACTACTGACTGCAAAAGAAGGAGATAAGTCAGAAAAAAAGAAAATTTAAAAACAAATCTAATTTGAAACTTCACATGTACTCAAGAAAATATCAGTTATAAAGGCAGAACATGCCTCTATGAAAAAAAAATAGAGAACAAGAAAGAATTGTAGACAATTAACACTAGCAAGAAGAGATAAGAAAGCTTTCCTAAGTGAACAGTGCAAAGAAATAGAGGGAAACAATAGAATGGGAAAGAATAGACATCTCTTCAAGAAAATTAGAGATACCAATGGAACATTTCATGAAGAGATGGGCACAATAAAGGACAGAAACAGTATGAACCTAACAGAAGCCGGAAAAAATTAAGAAGAAGTGGAAAGAATATACAGAAGAGCTATATAGAAAAGATCTTCATGACCCTGATAACCACGATGGTGTGATTACTCACCTAGAGCCAGACATACTGGAGTGCGAAGTCAAGTGGGCCTTAATAGCATCACTACGAGCAAAGCTAGTGGAGGTAACGGAATTCCAGCTGAAGTATTTCAAAGCCTAAAAGATGATGCTGTTAAAGTGCTGCACTCAATATTCTAGCAAATTTGGAAAACTCGGCAGTGACCACAGGACTGGAGAAGATCAGTTTTCATTCCAATTCCAAAAAAAGGCAATGCCAAAGAATATATTCAAACTACCACACAACTGCATTCATTTCACATGTTAGCAAGGTCATGCTCAAAATCCTTCAAGCTAGGCTTCAATAGTATATGAACTGAGAACTTCCAGATGTATAAGCTGGATTTAGAAAAGGCAGAGGAACCAGAGATCAAATTGCCAACATCCACTGGATCATTGAAAAAGCAAGAGAATTCAGAAAAACATCTACTTCTGCTTCATTGACTATGCTAAAGCCTTTGACAGTGTGGACCACAACAACCTGAAAAAAATTCTTCAAGAAATGGGAATACCAGACCACCTTACCTGCTTCCTGAGAAACCTGTATGTGGCGCAAGAAGCAACAGTTAGAACAGGACATGGAACAATGGATTGATTCAAAACTGGGAAAAGAGTCCACCAAGGCTGTATATTGTCACCCTGAGTATTTAACTTATATGCAGAGAACAGAACATCATGCAAAATGGTTGGGGGAATGAAGCACAAGCTGGAATCAAGATTGCTGGGAGAAATATCAATAACCTCAGATATGCAGATGACACCACTCTTGTGGCAGAAAGCAAAGAGGAACTACAGTCTCTTGATGAAAGTGAAAGAGGAAAGTTAAAAAGCTGGGTTAAAATTCAACATTCAAAAACTGAAGATCATGGTATCCAGTCCCATCACTTCATGGCAAATAGATGAGGAAACAACGGAAACAGTGACAGACTTTATTTTCTTGGGCTCCAAAATCACTGAGAATGGTGACTGCAGCCATGAAATCAAAAGACGCTTGCTCCTTGGAAAAAAAGCTATGACAAACCTAGACAGTATATTAAAAAGAAGAGACATTACTTTGCTGTCAAAGGTCTGTCTAGTCAAAACTATGGTTTTTCCAATAGTCATGTATGGATGTGAGAGTTGGACCATAAAGAAGGCTGAGTGCCAAAGAATTGATGCTTTCGAACTGTGGTGTTAAGAGAAGGCTCTTGAGAGTCCCTTGGGACTGCAAGGAATTAAGTCAGTCAATCCTAAAGGAAATCAGTCGTGAATATTCGTTGGAAGGACTGATACTGAAACTGAAGCTACAATACTTTGTCCCCCTGAAGCGAAGAGCTGACTCATTGGAAAAGACCCTGATGCTGGGAGAGACTGAAGGCAGGAGGAGAACAGGGGAATACAGAGGATGATATGGCTGGATGGCAGCACTGGCTCAATGGACATGAATATGAGCAAACTCTGGGTGATGGTGAAGGACAGGGAAGACTGTAATGCTGCATTCTATGGGGTTGCAAAAGTCGACACAACTTATACTTTGAACAACAAAACTGTGATTGCCCATTTCCTTGTATTTCTTAATATACTGCCAAGAAATTATGAAAAGTTATCTCCCTGGACCACTGCCAAAAAGACAACAGAATGGAAAAGAGAAAATAGAAGAGTGAATTATAGAAAAACAGAGACTCAATACAAGGTCTTCTGTCATACGAGACCTTTTCTCATTCAGAAATACGTACGAGATAATTCAAAAAGTATTAGCAGAAAATTTCTCATTTAAGTAAAATGAACAAAACTTACTTGTAATTCAGTGTATGCTTATGAAATCTCAGAATACCAAGAACAGGAAAATCCTCAGAATCCCAGAAAAAAAAAAGCCCTTCCTAGTCCTTTACAAAGAAATGAAAATCAGTCTAGGATCAGATATCTCATAAGTAAGGGAAATATATGCTTACTAATTCATCACTGTTCAATACAAATACATGTGAGCCACATGCATAATATTTCATAACAACTGCCTTTTAAGAAAGTAAATAGAAACAGGTAAAATTAATTTTAATAATATATTTTACTTAACAGAATATATCCAAAATAGCATGATTTCAACATATAATCAATAGAAAACTTATTGAGATATTTTACATTACATTTATACTGAGTTTTTAAAATCTAGTGTGTATTTTACAATTATAGCACATCTCAGTTTAGACTAGCTACATTTCAAGTTATTACCATAATACCCAAAAGAATTCAAAAGTTAACTTGAACGGATTTGTTTTTCATTGAATGCTCTTTACTATAGTTGGGAACATATTTTACCATGGGCACCTATCCAAAAAAAGGAGGGGGCATATAAGGACAGCTTGGCATATACTGAGAATTCCTGTAATTTAAAAGCAAATACAGACATAAAGTACTTAGTTGATACATGATTGGTTCATCCTGTTATATTTAGATTTCTTTACCTGTCAAATGAAGGTGATGGTTGGATTAGATCAGTTCTTAACATGGTTGCGGGGGTGAAGCATGGGAAATGTGGATGAACTATTTCATTCTGTCCTTACTCCCTACTTCTCTTAAAATTCTAATAGGCTCAATTACAATGGGGAAGAGAGAGTATGCTGAAAGGTGAAAATACAGCATGTATAATTTGAAAATGTAATCAGATGACTCCCCGTCCATTTCTCCACCCTCATTCTTTGGGTCTTAACTTAAAAACACTGGATGTTATGCTGCTGTGCCTAGGGTGTTTTCTGTGGATCTCAAACTTCTCTTCAAAGAACTTCCACGGCCACTTAATGTTAACAGAGTGACCTAAACACTATCTCCTCCTTTTCATGAATGAGAAAGATGACCCTCAAAAGGATTAAATGACTG